ATGAAAATTAAACCTTATTTTCAATAAGCAATCCTGAAAAATATTTGGGGGTGCTTAACTTTTTTCCAGGTGTATATATAAATCAGTTAACACAAGCTTAGTAGCTAACCTTTTCTTTAAAAATGGTAAGTCTGTTTTATTTACTCATGGGTTTAAGGAGTTAAGTCTAAGGAACAATAATCTCCTTTTAGCCAACTTTTCCCCTTATATCTTTATATGATATAGAGTTAACTACAGCTGCTTATAGTTCAAGATCTAATAATATATGTTAGAAGTCAACACGAAGGTTGTAGATGTTTACCTAAATCTTTATCTATGTAGTGGAGAGTCCTGTTTAACAACGCATAATGATGCAGATCATGTTGTGATTTCTCAGTGACTTAAAAGGTGCCGAGTGTATTGAGGATTTCAAGTATATACCAGTTTATATCAATTAAATCACATTCAGTTTTATATTAAGACGAAAAGGCAAAAACTCGCTATTAAATAGGAACTTTGTTATTGCTGTTATATTGTCATACATATTAATCTATTAACGTAATGTAATTTACATTATTTACAGTTTTCTACGGCTGTTAATCTGTGCTTTTAACACGTACTATTTCAATGTATAGGCTGCTCTTCTTCGAGGGGCGGTTGATTTCTCTGGTCAGTTCTGTGGAGGAGTGCTCATAAACAAACAATACGTCTTGACCGCTGCCCACTGCACAGAAGGGTAAGTAAGAAGAGAATAATCTTTTTATGATGACGAGAACGGCTGGTATGGGTATTAAAAACTTTAATTAAAATAAAGTACAAGAACAACGTTTCGACCTTCTTAGGTCATCTTCAGGTTAACAAAGGCGGTTTGAAACAGTTTTTATGTTATTTCATAACAGTGGCCAAGGAAAGATGTGTTAGTATGATATTTGAAGAAGAAAAGCAATTTTACAACACCAACTAAACAAAGAATACCACATTCCAAGATGAGTAGTACATCTAGGTTCTTGCTTGACTTATCAAACATAGAGCGAGAACAAACAAAAAAATATATCGCATCAGAATATTTAATTTCTAGGAAACTAGTTCTAGTTAACTTGGAAAGTTCAGTTAAACCCTAAAGGTAAGAAGATTTTACTTGCACATGTGTGAACACCATTAAAATGTCAGAGCTTACCTTTGTATACCGATTGTGAAAAATGATAAACGTAAAAAATCAAATGGATATTTATAACAAAACCTGAAAACCAGGACCGTTTCGTTCGACCATGCTGTATTACGTGCTGTTTATTATGTTATTCAGAGTTAAATCTTGAGCTCTGAAGTTCAGTAGAGTTCTACAACTTAATAATCTTTTTATTTATCAGCCAAAGAATTTATTATGCTATTCAGAGTTAAATCTTGAGCTCTGAAGTTCAGTGGAGTTCTACAACTTTCAGATTAACAGCCAAAGAATTTATTATGTTATTCAGATCTGAAGTTCAGTAGAGTTCTACAACTTTCAGATTAACAGCCAAAGAATTTATTATGTTATTTAGAGTTAAATCTTGAGCTCTGAAGATCAGTAGAATTCTACAACTTTCAGATTAACAGCCAAAGAAATAAAAGTACGACTGGGCGAGTACGACTTTAGCCAAACGGACGACGGCGTCCATGAAGATACGGGAGTAGCGGAGATCAAGGTTCACCCGAATTATAACCCAAGGACTCATTATTATGATGCCTGTCTCCTAAAGCTTGGTCGCCCCGTGCAATATAGTACCTATATTCGTCCCATCTGTTTGCCCACAGGTAAAGAAGATTTCACTGGAGAACTAGGCACAGTCACAGGTTGGGGAACTACAGCTTACGGTAAGTGAATCCATTTCTAAAGTCGGTTATCTGCTGTGACTAGTGAATCATTATTACGCAGTTAATAAGTAATGGATTTTTATTTCAATTTGGCGCAATGCTTTTATTAGGCAAGTCTTTGATGTTCGTATTTAGTTAATAAGTAATGGATTTTTATTTCAATTTGGTGCACTACTTTTACTAGGCAAGTCTTTGATGTTCGCGTTTAGTTAATAGGTAATTTTTTTTTGGT